CACCTTTTCAAGGACAAATTAGGCATTTTATATGCTCATTTATTATTTTAGTCCTAAAGGATCCTATTCCTTAGCATCAATTAATTTGACAATGAAGAATTTATCCTAATTTCCCCCTTTGAAAATGACAATATATGATTTATTGATCACAATATTATGATTATTCACTCATTTATCAATATTTTATACTTTTATTATGAAGAGCAAGTTTACAAATTTTTAGGATGAAATTGTATTTTTTTTGGGTCAAAATATTAGAATATTATAATCCTAGACAACTTTCATTTAACCCCATTCTTTACTAGAAAATAAAATTAATTTCAAATATTTTTAATTCATTGCTAGTTTGGTCCCAAAAAAATTACTAGTTAAATAATAAAAGATTGAAAATTTAGCTTTTCAAAAATATACATATTCACTAATCTATTTTTTCATTAAATATAAATGTTAATTATCAAAATTATACCTCTCCCTTATTTAATTGAAAGAATCATTATAAGATCCCAAGGAAAAAAAATGTAATCACTAAAAAATTTCAAAAATTTCAATAACAAGTTAGTAGTTTGAACCTAATATTACTTCCTAGAACTTGTATTTGCATGATGCTCAATTGCTATAAAACTTTTTAGTAAGTATATTTCTTCTTTATGACCTTATAATACTTCTCCTTTTTAATTTTTAAGAATTATAATATATGATATGTTCACTACAACATTTAATTTTTTTCCCCATTAATTTTTCAATAGCATATAGTGAAATTTGAAGGTATGAACAGTATCTTTAGAAATTTTGAGTAGGCTAAAATATACATTTGGGTTTTTAACTTTATGTAAGGTTTGAATTTAATCCCTTAACTTTAAAAAATATATTTTTAATTATTTAATCCTAAAATTATTAATCTTAAATGATAATTTTTTGTAATAATCATTATTATTTTAAAAATTAAACTTAATGTGTTAGTATTTGGTAATATTTTACTAATATTGAAGAGCTCAATATCATTTTTTGTTAACAGTTATAGGGTTAGAGAACTAAAAGTTTATTTTCTAAAGTTAAGGGATTAAAATAAAACCTTGTGTAAAGATAAAGAACTAAAAGTATATTTTAACCTTTTGAGTGCTATTATTCAGTTATTAATTTGTCTTCAGATATTATTTAATGAATTTAACAGCATAAAATTGGGAAAAAAAAAGTATGTACTCTTTCTGTCATTAATATAAAACTTAATTGTTGAATTGATTTTAATCTTAAATATAAGATCTATTTTTTATATTTATCAATTTTTCTTAAATTACTACTATCAATCTCCCTCAACCATAATCAACTAGAAGAGAGAGATAAGATATCAAGAAAGATGATTGCGATGTTTTAGAAAAAACATGTCATATTTCTTATAATTAACTAACTTATCTAACTTTTTTAATCTAATCAAATTAGTTAAATATGATTTATATTAAGGACTGGATGAGTAATTTTTTTATAAGCAGTTACTTTTTTTATTAAATGGGGTGCATGAGTAAGTGGCATGTGCGTTATCCATGTCCGGTAAACCAAGAAAACAAGGGAAAATTACTCACAAGTTACAAGGAAGAGACTTTATTTATCTAAAGTCTTACGAAATGTCAAAATTACTAGCAAATTCGAAAAAACCTTAGAATATTATATTTTAATTATAAAATGACATCACTACCCCTCAGATTCTCAATTCAGAATTTTTCTGCCATTATGATTAACAACTTCAACAGCGACTATTGACAACCTAATGAGGAGGTGTTGACAACTTAAGCAATGTATGCTGATAACTTACTTTATAGTATCACATAACCTCCATATAAGAGTAAATTATAACCAAATAGTATAATACAACAACTTTAATATTGAAATGAGAAGCTTTTTCGAAACCATTAAGAATTTTAATTAAATCCAATAAGAGTATAGCAAAATTTTAATGCGGAGATCCATTGACAACCTCAACAGTGAGTATTAATAACCCGAGGAGAGCTATTGACAACCTAAACAGTGTCTGTTAACAACTAATTTTATAGGATAATATAACCTCTGCATAAGATCAAATTATAACTAAATAGTAAAATATAACAACTACATGAGATCAACTTTAATACTATTTAGTTATAATTTAGTTAGTTATAGTTGTTAGACGTTATATTATCATATAAAGTCAGTTGTTAATAGATACTGTCTAGGTTGTCAACAGCTCTCCTTAGGTTATTAATACTTACCATTGAAGTTGTCAATAGATCTCTACATTAAAATTTTGCTATAATCCTATTGGGTTTAATTAAAGTTATTAATAGTTTCGAAAAGCTTCCCATTTCAATGTTATAGTTATTGTATTATACTATTTGGTTATAATTTACTCTTATGTGGAGATTATGTGATCCTATAAAATAAGTTGTCAATAGATATTGCTTAGGGTGTCAATACCTTTTTATTGGGTTGTTAATAATCACTGCTGAGATTGTCAATTGCAAAAGCAGAGAAAATGTGAATTGGAAATCTGAGATGCAGTGATGTCATTTTATAATTAGAACATAATACTCTAAGGTTCCTTCGGACCTGCTAATAATTTTGATATTTCGTGGTACCTTAAATGAATAAAGTCTCGTCCTTAGAATATGTGCGTAGTTTTCCCAAAAAACAATGTGCGTTATCCATCAATATTTACATTATATTCAAATTTATTAAGTATATAATTTTCAACAAACACATGAAACGTAATAAGGAGGGAGCACTGGCACATGATACGAGGCAACCAAACTATAAATCCATTACTTAAACATAATACCGTTGAAGTGCACCCAGTTACATTGATATCAATCAAATTATACTAAAATAAATAATTTCTAATACTATCTGAGATACTATTAGTTACTAAATATAAGCATCTTTTTTAACAAAAATTGACTTGAATAGATTCCCTCTAATCAAAAGACATCAATGCCTAACCAAAAAAAATTGAAAAAAACTGGAGATAAGTCTTTGGTTAAAAAATTAATTAGGCAATGCTACCTGAAACATTTAGGCCATTGAGGGTAATTAATTGTAGTGGGAGAAAGATTAAATTACCCTAATTATATATTGTTAATCCAAAATTGCATATGACTGATTCTAATTATATATTACAAATGCCCAATTACATATGAGATCTTATTACATATTACAAATCCTAATAATGTGTAAATATCTTCCATAATATGGCCAAATTTGCCAATAATTTAAGCCCAAAATATTGATACTTCTTCCATCCTAAATATAAGATTCAATTAAGAAATTAATTTTAATCATAAATATAAGACTTAATTTATTTTATGCCTTATATTCATCTTTTATTTTCAAATTAATTTATCTAACATAAATGTATTATAGGAAAATCATGTTGTATTTGTTAGAATCAAGTAATTTATTTAGGTTTCTTAATTTACCTAATTTAGTTAAAATTTTAATCATCAATATATTACTTTAATTTATTTTATTTCTTATATTTATTTTTTTCCAAACTAATTTATCTAACACAAAAGTCTTATAGGAAAATCATGTCATATTTGTTAGAATCAAGTAATTTGTTTAGTTTTTTTAATCTACTCAAATTAGTTAAACAGTTTTTACATTAAAGACCAGAAGAGTATCATTGAAGATCTCATCAGGATTGTTAATAGAGATTTGAATCTCCCCATTAATTTTGCAGAGAGGCTAATCATATAGCAGGCACCATAGCTAGGAAAGGCCAAGAACTAAATGTTGATTTTCTCAGTCTTTGATTGTTCCCCACTTTTCTAATAAAAGGAAGCAAATTAAATTTCCCTTTATCATTGTGAAGTTTGTTTTCTTCCCTAGTGAATGATACTTACACAGTTTGAGTGCCAAAAGAAAAAAAAATGATATAAATGCCCTTTATTTCATCATGAAAATCTAGGACCTCATCTGGCACTAGAAGACTGGAAAGTTTTTGGAATAACCCTTAATCCTGAAAGTAGGACCTTGGCATGGCATGATCTCAAGAATCTAGATCAGAAACTCCACTACCAGTAGAACAAATTTTCCGAGAAAACTCCCTCATCCCAAATATAAGGGCCCACATTTCGATTCCCATTTTCTGAGAGACAACAAAATATGAGGAGTCATGAAATACATTCCAGAGGTCCAGCCATCGATTGCAATTAGAAGATTTGAAATGTTCCCTAGGCTTTCAAGGATTTCTACCATTCAATTCAATCAGAATTCACAAATTACACAATGAAATACGTTTCACAGTTTGTTTGCGTTTTACTTTCCCCGGCTGCAATGTTAAACTGGTCCATTTGGTGGACACCCCAGTTCATACCATCATCCTCCAAGGATGAGTTTCTCTGATACTTTCCGATGGAGTTGGGAGAAATCAGGTACATAAAATTTTATCAACAAAAGCCAGACTGATCACAACCAACTCATGCTTGGATAAGAGCAGGAAGAAGGCCAGCCAATTTCTTCCATAGGCTCACATCGGCCACAGAGTTTGAGGAAAGGAAAGAAGAGCAATCACATGAGTGCAAATCAAGGCCCCTAAAGGAAGAATGAGGAAGAAATCTTCCCATTGTAGACAGACACATTGCCTAGAAAAATCAGATGACTCGATTTCGATTGTCATCATTTTCATGGACTGTCAATTTCAACAAAGGAAATGCAAAATATGTATAAGACCCCATGGCCCATGCACATTTTTCCCATCATTTACTTGAGTTTTTGCCAAATACACTCTGTTTACCTTAGTCTTATATTAAGCTATCAATTTCAGATGAAACTGAGAGGATGAAATGCCTCAAAAACATTGAAATGTATACACCTGAAGTAATATAAACATTTATGCCTTGAAGCAAATTAGCTTGTGATTTCTCAATCAAATATGGTGAAACATGCAACCATCAAGTGTCATAACTTCTACTTACCATTAATCAACAATATTATCATAGAAGATGAATTTAGCATTTTGAACTTTCCGGTTATAATGATGTTGAAAGACTTAATGGAACAAAACTGAGCATCTTCAATTAATTATTGTTCTGAATTTATACTAAAGTGATACAGAAACTTTCCACCATTACAACACAAGGTCCAGAAGGATACCGTCCCCGATCTTCAGCTAAATATTTATGAGAATAATCAGAGCAACTTAACACCAGCATCCCTAACAGAATCAACAACAGCTCGAACCTTGCCATGATACTTCTGTTCCCTCTTCAAGTGAACAGTAATAGCAGGTATATTCTTGAGCAAAAGGCGTTCCCCTAGTATCTTCCCAATCTTTGCAGCTGCAGTCACATCTCGGGTCGTTTCCAAGCTTGACCTTAAGGCTTTCTCCTGAGAGCTTGCAAAACATGCTACAGTAGCAGTTGGTGTGTGGATCACCTGGGCACTAACGAACTTATTTGTAAAATGCATTTTCAGTACATAAGGCTTAAGAAAGTCTATGATCCTTGGAGGCCTTGGTGGAGGAGGGATCACCATATCTGTTTTGAAATGTATCAAATCAGTAGGAGTGGAAACAAGCCAAGCCAGGCTAGGCTTTCCTCTTGATAGGCCAGGCCTGTCATGTAACAAAATGGCCTGAGTTTGGCCGGTGGCCTATTATAATCTTTTTTATCAACCAAAACCTGGCCTATACAAAAGCCTGATCTAATCTGAAGCCTATTAAAAGGCCTGTATATTTTAAAACCTACAAACAGGCTAACAAGCCTAGGCCTTCAAACAGGTCGAAAACAGGCAATTGCAAAAAAACAGGACAAGGCATTTAAACAGACTGAAAACAGGCTTTAATTACATAAACCAATTTAAAATTATAATAACACAATCCGATCCAAAATCATCTGAAATACAACATATGAGCTGGTATAATCTAATTAATCAACAAGTTAACACCAAATACAACAACAGAACAATTTTGATTAAAATTACAACAACTTAGACCGAATATAGTATAGCCACTAGTCGCAAATCATCAAATTTTCAAGCTAATTTCTTCTTCATGCTCGAACACCTTGAAAAGAAGAAATTAAATGTATAATATTAGATCATAACACAATCTAACAAGTAATAACGATAAAAAAAAAGTATTATTTTTAGAATCTGTGCCTTTGGTTTTTTCTTTGAAAGACTACAATGTCTATTTATCAGAAGATATATGGGTATAAAACGTACAAGTTGATACGACTTTGCAAAAGAAGAAACAGAATGCCTAAAAAATATATTTATACAAAAGAACTAAAGATTGCAAGCTTGTGAGATTAGAGTAACAAAATATTCATTACGAATTTTTCTGCATTCAATGGCTAAACATTAAAAAGGGGTTAAAACAAATTTTGAAACTGAAAGCATCCAATTCCCATCAAAGTTTTTCAATTTCATGTTTGAATTCGCCCTTATTGGTAATTCTGAGAACATAAATACCCCAATATAATCGATCTGGGAAATGAACTTTTGGTTCAGTGGAATCCAGTTTGTCTAATAAATGGATGCCTACTTATAGAAAGGTCGCGCAATAGGGGAAAAAAGAAAAGTAAAAAAGAAGAGCTTTGAACCATAAGAAGATACCAGTGACGCATTTTCAACAGAATCAAGTTAAACTTTCCTGGAAAATTTCAGAAGATGTGGGTCAAGCTTGAAACACGTTGTTCGTTTAAAAGGAAAGGGAAAGAGACTTGAAACAAATCTAATATTTCACATGGACTACACTATGCCATTCCTATCCCATCTAATTAACGATTTCCCATTCCCATTCAAAACAAATATGATTCAATACATATCCTACCTGATAGGCAAGGCAAGAAACGTTGGTCGGCGGCGGGGAGCACAAATGAATGTCAGAGAGTGAGTGGTTGAGCGGCGAGCACGGACGCAAAACAGAGGTCGGAGAGGGAGCAGCTGAGCGCGATAGTGGGGAACAGAGAGTGGAGAGCAAGCAGGAGCGGCTAGGATTTAGGTTTGAGCCAAAGAGGAATAATCGTGAATCATCGTAAAAGAAGCTGAGGATAGTGGAGAGTAATTAACCAGTTATGTTTAAAATTATAAACCATGGAAAATAGGTAACAACAATCGAACACGTTGCTGCAGTCATGAAGCTTGTCCCTTTTTACTATCAGGTCTTTTTTTTTTTTTTTACCAGCATTTACTATCAGGTCTTGGCTTCTGTAAAATTGAACAGTAAATTTCTAGGTCTTGATTTCGACCCTTACTTTTTGTAAAATTGAATGTAATATATTGTAAATTTTTGATAGGTTTTAGAGAGTCTAAACCTGACTTGTTAAATAAAATAGGCTTTTAAAAAAGTCTGAGCTTGTATTTATTTTTTCTTAAGTTAGACCGCACGTCTTTGACAAAGCGTGTGATTTATTTTGATCTTTACATATTAGTATAAACCCAAAGAATTTCAATTATAGTGCCACTTGTGCTCAAGCATGTATAACAGATAGATAAAGGTTTTCTTCATCAAAGGAATCATTCTAATGTCACAACCTAAACCAGATTTTGGCATCCTTTAATGCGATTTCCATAGGTAGGTCTATATTACGTGTAGGGGGTGTTTGGATGAGTGTAAAAGTACTTTTTAAAAGTATTTTTCTGCAAATCGAGATAAACACCTCTACATATTTACTTCGTATACTGTAAAAATATTTTTAAAATCATGGTTTTATTTCCACCTAAACACCTCCTCAGTAGGGGCATCTTCCCCACTAAAATTTTTGAGATATTCATATATAGTAGATGTCATACCCTTTTATGATCTTCCACTTAATTGAATTGAAAGGAAAAATTAAAACAAAACATGAAATGGCAGGAGGGAGTCCGACGTAGGGTTGACACTCAAGGAAGAAATTCAAATCCAGATTCAAAGCCAGATTGAACATAACAGGCTCATCGGAGAAGACAAAGCCCTGCATTCGTACCTTCTTCAATACTTTCCGGGAAAGAATACGCAAGGGCTGATAACGGTGGACGGCATCCGACGTTAAGCTCGCCCAAGTGTGAAATGCTCCACAGAGAAAAATCAATGCGCTCTGCCAACTGCTAGTTCTAGCAAGGAGATTTTGTTCTGTTAGGGTTATAATTAATTTTATTGATTTAATTTTCTGCAAAGGTGAATCAATGCAATATTTCTTGCATTCATAGAAGTCCATTCTTTAGAAATATTCACATTTTTTATATAAGAGCTGGCTTGACTTTTAATTTGATTATAAGTATAAAACATTAATTCACCTTTTCTTTTATATTTATTCATTCTTTCCAAGAGAGTTCTTGTAGTAGTTACACATATTAAATGTTTCATCAAATGACACTTGATTAGCAATGATACTTTAGGAAAGACAACATATATTTATTACAAATAATTAATTTAACTAATTTTTTTAATCTATTCAAATTAATCAATTAGTTTTCATATTAAGGACCAGGGGTATTACAGCATATTAATTGTAAATGAGCAAAAAAATTAATATAATTTTTATATGTAATATTAATATTAATATTAACTAAATTACTCTATATAAATGAAATTCAATAAATTTATATTCACTTGAATAAAATCAAATAAAATTAAGTTTAAAGAAAAAAGGTTAAAAAAAAGGTTACAGAAACCAAATTAAATTATTGGCGAAACTGTAATGATCTAATTAAAAGTGAATATGAAGACGATATGATTAAAAATTTAATAAAACTGTAAGATTTGATACAAAGCAAAAAAAAACTACATATACCTGTTTAAAAATTACGTAAAACTATAAAAACTTAGAGATTAATTTTTTTGAAAAAAATATAATAGGGTTGATATAATTTTTATTCCTTATAGTTTGCCTTCATTTTAGCTTTAGTAGTCCTCATAATTTGAAATTATAGGTTTTGACCCATCAAATTTTATTTTGATCATAATGTTATTCCTTGTAGTTTAATAAGGACTTGGACCAGAAGCTAACGGAATTAAGTTTGCTGATATTTTACTAATGTTGTTTATTTTGCTGACATGTATGCTGACAGGACATATGGTGTTAATAATTTAAAAAACCGTCGTTTTCCTCACAAAAACCAGGGTTAGTTACCATCCTTGTCCTTTATAGAGTTTCAAAACTGGCTCAAAATCATACTCATGAACCTGCATAAAGATGGACATTTGAGTTTTATACAAAATATCGTATTGAGTACCATTTGGAGGAATAGAAATGCTATTCTACATCATAGAGGATAACTATCATAGCATATCATAAAGGAGACTAACAATACTTCATCTTTTTTTGAATTCGCAATTCAAGTTGAGCATGCTGAAACTTTGACATTAATAAAGGGGTCAAAGCTACAAAAATATATTATTTTCACATGAAATGTTAGGATGTATGAGAAATTAGTCTAAAAACTCATAAATATTTTTTTAAAAAAATATTTTTTTAATATTTTTTACACCGATTGAATGCGAAACCGGTTAAAAATTCTATCAATATTTACAAAACTGTCACTGGTCACATTTTTCACGCTATTGCCACAATAAACGGTGTAGATTAGACCGTGTAAAGAGAATTTTTTTTCTAGTAGTATTTACTACCTTTGTCCCTTAATATAAGAGTTATACAACTAATTTAAAAATATTCAAGAAATTAGTTAATTTGATTATTTGTCACAAATGTGTGTTGATCTCCTTGAACCATCTTCTTTAATTATTTGTATTAAATGATTTGAATTATCCCTTAGTAAAATCTCCTTACAATCAATAGAGATATTTTGAAAAAATAAAAGATAAATGGATTGCGGTTTTTTATTTATAACTGAATATAACTCTCCAAATTAGCTTTTGTATGAAGGACTGAAGATAGTATCACATTTAAGATTACATATTGGAAAATAAAATTATATATACGAAAAGGGTAAAGACACATCCAGCATAATAATTTTATTTTCAAGGTATATTAGGTAACTAGATGCACACAAAAAAAAATTAAGGTATTCAATACACTGTAAATAAAAACAGAGTGCAGATCTACTTCTATTGTGGTTGTTTTTTTTTTTTTGGGGGGGGGGGGGAGCGAGAGTCCAACCCGCTTATTTGACTTTTTTCAACCGAAAAATCTTCTAAGAACATAAGCTCACAATCGAACCCCAACCAAAAGCTCATCACCCGCAAATCACAAGTACAAAACTCAACATTTAATAGTACCCGAAAAAGAAGCCAAGCCGGCCCCACTTCACGGGCTGCAAGCCGAAATAGTCAGCCCATTTAGGCCTACAGACTTTGGACATGTTTAATGAAAAACCCATTATTTTTCACATATTTTTTAAAGAAATGAATATAAAAAAAATAAAACTTTGAAAAATTAGAATAGAAGACTTAAATGGAATAATATTTATTGAGAAGGATCTTGAAAATCTTAATTACTTAGAAAGACCAAAAACTAAAATAGAGATATACTAATCTTATAAAACAGAACCACAAAAGAGTCTTATGAAACGGAATCACAAAAGTAAAGTAAAGAAAGATGAAGATAAAAAAAAAAACAGAGAACTATTGTAATTCTTCACTCACTCCACAATACAAATAACATGTCCTATTTATAAGCATAGTCTTACACATAGGTTACACTTATCCTTAAATGATAAATAGTGGATAATCAATCTCATGAATGTGAGTGGCGGTAAGTTACAAGATAAAATGGATAGTGGAGGAGTAATAAATAGTAGAGGAGTAATGGATAGTGAAGGCAATAGAAGTTACTCGGTGAAGTTGAAGAGGAAGACGTAAATGGACATCCATATAATATTCACAGCACTCCCTCTTGGATATCCATTATACAAATATATGCCTCATTAAAAAAACTTCAACTAAAAAAACCTGTGGGGTAAAAATCTAAAGGAAAAAAGAGAGTACACATTCATTGATATACTATCCAATGCTGCCTCATTAAAAACCTTGTTGGGAAAAACCCGGTGAGATAAAAACTATAGTTAAGGAAAAAAGAGTACAAGATGTATTAACTTCCCCTGTTGGTAACATCAGTTGATATCTCTGAGTTTGTAATATTCAATATCATGAACGAGCTTTTCAATTATTTTACAAGGAAGTGACTTGGTCAATAAATTTGCTAGATTTTTATTAGAACTGATTTGTCATATATGAATTTAGGTGAAGAAAAATTTTGATGAAATATGTTTTATTCTATTTCTTTTGATGTGTCCTTCTTTTAGTTTTGCAATACATGTAGTGTCTGTTTGGGCCAGCGGCCCAAACATGGCTTAAAATTGAAAATAAGCTCTGTGGCAGAAAGAGGTCCGTTTGGCAGAACATTTTTGCAATTGAGCTTCTCAAAAATAAGCTGTCAGATCGTGCGTTGTAAAAAAAGCCAAGAAGAGTAGCTTATGAAACTGTGGGCATAAGCTTAATGGTAGGAGTTGGGCGCTAGCTCCGTTGACGTCATTTTGCCAATTATACTAGGACACGTGGTGAGATGTTATTGGAAAAGAATAATGCCACCTTCATTAATGAGCAAAAAGATCTTCCCGGTGCTTCAATTCATATGCTTAGCTGGGTGTGTATAACTTTTATTTTTGGATGAAACTTGAAGAACGGACGTTCAAAAAATCAATAAAATATATTTCAGAAAATAAAATAATAAATATATTGAGTATTAATTTTTTTTATTTCTCTAATGTTTTCAAATTTAATTCACTCATTAAATTTCACTTCTTTATATTAAATTAATTGAAATTCATTATATTATGTCAATTAAATTTTTTTTATCATGTTTCACTTTATAATTAAATTAGTTGGGTGCCTCTAATGGTCTAATTTTTATTTTTGGATGAAA